ATTAAATATTTATGAAATATTGAACTTTCATGTTCACACCAAGGGAGTTTAATGAGAAAAATGACTTCCTCATCCTGAATCTTTAAAAGGACTCTAGGGATCCTGATTTGTATAGATTTTTCTGGAATGTTTCTTTTATACTACCTACCCTTATAAATGTTTTATTTACTATGCTTTAATTGGTCTAGGATAATTTTCTTCTGAACAAAATACAAAAATTCTTCAAACCTAAGTGAAGTTTATAAATTCAGAATTATTTATAAGTGCATTTCTGAATATGAATCAGATAGCACATAAATTACTATTAGTAAAAATCTGTTTTTTCAATAATTTTAAATTTGCCTATTTTAATATATGCTATAATGTTTGTAATGAAAAAATCCAGCTTTTAATAAATTTGTTATTTTAGATGGATCAAAGTAATTTTAAATCTTGAAATAGCCTACACCTACATAAGATCAGAAATTAAACTTTATAGTAATAGTTTCTAAAGGAAGGAAATATAGCTTTTGTTATAAAGGAAACAGGATAGCCAAATTTCAGTAGTTTAACTTGCATAAAAGGAAAATATTTATTTCTGTATGATGGTTATATTATATATTAGAAAATATAATAAGTAGATTTGCTGTTTTTGTTTGTTTGTTTTAGTTTGCTGTAGGATGTGTGTGCTTGCCAGCCACAGACAGAGAGAAAGAGAGAAAGTGAGAAATTGCTCGCCCAGGGAAGATGGGGCCATACCATAGTCGCTTCTCTTCCATTGTCCTCTAAGGATTTTGGGCATGCATGCATATGTGCTAACATGTTTTTCAAGCCACGGATCCAGGACTCAAACTCAGCAGCCAGCCATTTGGGATCCAGTCTCCTTAACCACCATGTCACCAGCAGCCCACAGTTGTTGATTTTATTGTGAGCTTTCAATGGACAATGTAGCTATTGTCCTACCTGTATTATTTCAGTAAATATTCATTGAATACTTTTTAATGAATACATCTCGATTAGACTCTTGAAATAAAGACAGACAGTCTTTTCTCTAAACAAGTTTGCAATCTAGCTGATGAGACAGGACAAATATCAAAGACTGCACTAGCAAAACAATCCAGTATTGCCAAATAGAACAAAATAACAGCTGCAGAGCTCAGAAAAGTTAAGACATCCCTAAAGATTATGATAATGGAATAGTTGCCTTCTAAGCTGAGTCTGTTTTTCAGTGTATACATTTTTTGTCTGTGCGATTTTTCTCTTTCCTTTTTTGATTGTATACTTTTAAGAAAGAGGGACCAGCAGTTAGTGTAATGGCTATGTCACTGGACTCCCATGTAGTCGACCGCGGTTTTTGAGCCCGGACCCGGTGGCTTAAAACTCATGCCGGGCGCGTGTGCGTGCGTGCCCAAGATCCCAAGAGGAGAATGGAGGAGAAGGGATTGTGGCGTGACCATCCCCCCTGGGGGGTGATTTCTCGCTTTCTGTCTCTATGTCTCTCTCTGTCTGTCTGGTGAGCGCACGTGCCCTACAGTGAAAATCTCTAAAAAAAAAAGAAGATTTTGGGGGGAGTGAGGTAAAGGTAAGAAACACCCCAAAAGACCCCACCTGGCTTGCCCACCAATCCAGGCAGTGCAGAAGCCCCAGTGTCTCCGGATTCCTCCCTCTGTCTCCCAAACCCAGCACTCTTGCAAAGCGTCCTGTGAGCCCAGGAGGCCAGGATGGCAAAACTATGATGGCCGAAAAGAGGAGAAATGGGCCAAAAAAAAAAAAAAAAAGAGCTTGAAAGTATTAAAGACCCCAAATAGTGCTGCCTTTCCCCCAGGACAGCCTTGCCACCCTAAATCAGTGGTCCATGGCATTGGGATCCGGAGGCCAAGCCCACCAGGGACATGGAAAGGGGAGCACTTTGTCTTAGCTGAAAACATCTGCCGGCCTGCAAGCCTTCAGGCCAAGGGCAGGACCAGTGTGGTCTCTGAGCCTGGCAGACTTGGGGCCACCGCCCTGCTGGCAGCCAGCCTGCCCTGGGTAAGAACCCCCCACAGGCCTTAGAGGCCAGGAGTTTTTGCCTGGATGTCTAAGCCAGGTAACGTGTCTAAGACTAGATCTTTGGGCTTCTTGACCAGCTACACTGGACCGTCCGGCCTTCCCAAGCACCCTCTGCCACCTTGCAAGGCCTCTGCACCCCCAAACCCTGGCCTTCCCACGCGCTTGAGGAGGGTTTGCGCCTCATCTCCAACCCCCCTCATCTCTTTTAACATGCCACATTGTCCCGAAGAACACAAGGAAGAGAAATTGGGGAGGGGGGGCGGGATCCGGAGGCCCCGGGCAGCAATCAGGCCGTCTCTCCCCCGGCAAGGACACACACGTCGTGAGCCCGGCCTGAAAAGTGTTTCATTATCACATAAAAGGCTCCCGTGGCGAAGGAGCCGAGAGGCAGGGCTGGGGGCCGAGTGGGGGACAATGGGGGCTGAAAGCGCGGCTCTAACCTGCTATGTTTCCTATCGCACGCCCATTGTGTGAGGGTCGTTTTAAACTACTTAGCCGCCCCCCTCCACTGATCCCGGGCGATAAGATATAGTTCTGCGCGAATACAGAAAGAGGCGGTTCGGGAGCGGCGCTTCCCGAGGCCTTTCTGCGCGTCTCCGGGCTTTCACACACACCCTCCCTTCTGCCCCTCCCCCAGCCAGGGTTCCGAGCTTCCGAGCTCACCGATTGTGCTCGGCCTGTCTTCCCCAACTCTGGACTGTGGGGTGCAGCGTTCCCCCCCTGCCCCCTTTTACCCGCGCCTTCAGCGCGCGGGTTTAAGCAACCGTGATCTGTGAATAAACAAAGTCAGTAAACAACCGAAAAAACATTCTAGATGCGAATTCCAGGAGGGTAAACTTTCCATGCCACGTCACACTTCAGCAAATTTGCACAGATATTATATTGCCTCCCCCCCTTTATTATTCTTTTTTTTTTTTTGCCAGGATCCCATTGTACTTAACTGAATTTTATAACGCTGATCGATATCTTGGTAAAATATTCATTTTTAAACTAGCGGGCAGTGAAATCTTTGCTTTGTGTGCTAAAGTCAACAGTCGCTTGGTTTGAGCTCAAATAAATGCGGGGATGCCTCGACTGGGAGCAGTCGTCCGCCTCCCTCCGAGCGCTGGACGCTCCGCCGCCAGCCAGCCACCGCAGGTAGGGAGCGCGCCACTCGGGGGCTACGCCCGGGCTCCCCTCGGCTGCGTCAGCCCCCCACTCCAGTCCGCACGCCTCCCCTCCCCCAACCAGCCCTCTTCGTTCCAGGGACGCAGACTCTTGGGCGGGGATGTGGGGCGGTGAGAAGCCCAGTCGGTGGGGTCGGGAGGTGGCCTTTATTTGCGAGAGATTTTGCACAGCGTCTAATATGGAAGCATTTCTAGGGGTGCCGAGTCACAAACATAGAGTCTAGGCTCTGAGTACAGTGTTGCAGGCGAATTCGCTGGGGCCCCGCGATCGCGGGAACCACCACAGGCCCTGCAGCAGCTCAGGGTTGGGGATTCAAACCCAGGGACACGTGTTTCCCAAGAACAGAGGAGGGGCTGGGAGAGGGGGGATGCCCTTCGTCTCAGAGTCTGGGGTTATGGGGAAAAAGGTGGGCAAGGTGCGGGGGAGTCGGGAGAGGTGTTAGACTGGAGAGTGGCAACGCCCTCTCGACGGCGGACACGGGTTCGAGTCCAGTGTCGGCACTCTGGACGCAGTTAGGCCGAGGCGGCGGTACGGTCCTTGCCACGCAGAGGCAGGGGAGGGGCAGTGCCTTTCCAAGAAGCTAGCGGACAATAGCTTCCGCTGCAGGGAAGCGGCTGTTAGCCTAGGCGCACAGGGGCGCTCCGCTGCAGGTGGGGGAGCCTCCGGAACTCTGAGCTGGGTTGTGGAAAGGCACAGCCATTTATCACCCCCAAACGGCAGGACTCTCGGCTTTCTAGGTCAGGGTACCGACATCGTGTCTCTCCCCTGGGGTCTACCAGGTGCTCCTCCCCAAATCCGCATCCCCCTTGTGTCTTGGATTCTAAGGCCTCGGTTTCAGACGTGGCGGCGAGCGGCCAGTGCGGACTTGGTTATCCTGGTCTCTCGCCGGGCGGTGAGACGCGCTGGGTCACCGGCCCACGGAAACTGCTCGGAAAGCTCTTTCCGTCTGCGCCGCAGTCCCTAGATCCGGCAACCGAGCGCGCAGAAATTGGGTTCTTTGATAGGCCGCGTCAGTGCGAGCAGGGTGCGTCCCGGTGTGAGGCTCCTAGGTGCCACCGCCCTGGCTCCCTGGCGCCCCGGGCTGCGCGCCCTGGTCCACAGCACCTGGGGCGGCCTGGGAGCGCGTCCGCCGCGCGCCGCGCCCGGGATCCGCCTCGCGTGGCAGGCTATCTTTCCTGAACGAGATGGAGTGCCTGCAGGACACACGGCACGGCTAATCGTTTTTAAATAATTAATGCCTCCCCGTTCCGCTGGTAATGCGAGGCCTCGACTCCGACAATTACTTGTCATTAGACCAGTGTCGCCCCACGGCCTTCGATCGGGGCCTTTGATGGCGCGGGGTCTCCTCGCCCAGCCCACTCCACGGCGCGAATAAAAGGTGTCCAGCCTTTGAGAGCCGGTGCGGAGTCACCGCCGCCCTTCATTCAGTGCGACTTTTGAAAGAAAGCCCCTGTCTGAAGAGATGTGTAATCTTCCAAATGGCCAGTTTAAACGCCTGATCTTTATCCCCGGCCTTCTCCCAGCTTCATAAAAAAGAATCCAGTCCTCAGTGTTGGGCCGGGGGTGCTTTCAACGTGGGGGTGGGGCGGGGAGAAGCGAGAGAGGAGGCTTAAATAAGGCAGGGAGAGGTGTTTGCCCCAGCAGGTACTGCAGGGACCCAGGGCAACTGGTTTTCTTGGAGCAGCGTAGCTTTGAATTGCCCAGAGTCAGGAGGAGCTCCCGGCTTGAGCTGAGGGGTGCCGAGGGAAGATCAGGAATTGCTAGACGTGAGGGGTGTTCGGGGAACGCAGCAGAACCTTTCTTTGACTGTAAATCTTCACCCGGAAAGAGATGGCAGGAAAGGAGCCATTCTCTGAGTTCCCGCAGCCACTGTGGGCTTCGCGGGCAGAGCCGCTGGTACGAAGGTCGCAAACCTGTGTCCCCCGGTCCTGCCCCTTAGCACAACCCCCAATACACACACCTAGTGGCACTAGCCCCAACTTGCTGTCCCTGCTGCGACCAAAAACAAGGTTTAAGACCTGAAATGCTTTTGCTGAGTTAGGGACAGCGTGGACAGTAGCCCTGGTGGCAGCACCATGGCAACCCAGGCCAGCTGAGGATTGGTGGGTGAAATGAAAAACTCTAAACAAACCGAAAAAAAAAAAAACTCCCAAAATTCGCAACTCAATTTAATTACACTTCTTGTGGCTTTCTCCCCTCACACCAAACATTCTTGTTCCAGGAAAAACCCAGGGGTCTCAGCACCTTATCTGTCCCCTTTTGAGCGAAAACAATGTGTTGAATCTTCAGCCCTCCTTGACTGCAAAGCTATCTGTCTGGGCTTTCCATCGATTTCAGATTTGTACAGCCTCTGTCCCAGGGCTGGTTTTCCTCTGAGAAAGAGCGGGTGAGGACACTGGGGATGGAAAAAAAAAAAATGAGGAGCCGGGGAGAAACTATTCTCAGAAATGAGCAGAGAAGGCAGAGGCTCCCCTGCGCTTGGGCCAGGCCAGGTCTTCAGCAACACACACACTGCCTTCCTGGAGAACTAGTCACTCCATGCGGAGTTTTGGAAAAATTCCTTTTGGTGAGATGCACAGGATGTGGGGCTTGGGTGGTATAGGTACTTCTGGCTCTCCGTTGGAGACAAGCAAACAAAAATAGCATGGAAAAGATGTGTATCCCCAACAGAGCTCAGCAGGGTCCCCATCTCCTGGTGGGTCTCTTCTCCCTTTGACAAAACCCCAGGGAGTTCTCAACTCAGAGCACTCCAGGGGGTGCCTTGGAAGCCTAAATCCTGGGGCACCTTCCCCAGGATTCTGTTCACAGCCTTCCTGCCCACTCTCTTATCCCTTTTCTCTTTTCTTCTTTAAAACAATCATGTGTGTCCCCCCCCTCCTCTTCCCCCCATTGTGTTTGTTGATGACCTAACACGCTCACACCAAAAGCCACACACAGAAAACCAACAACGTGGGATGGGAGGAGAGAGCAATTATGACCCAGGCTAACAAGCAGGGAACACCCAAGTTGAGGCCGGCTGTCTCCTGGGAGACTGATGAAGGCTTATTTTACAAGCTGTAATTCAGTCCTGGTCCCTATTGCCAGACTGGAGGTGAGGCCTAGTCCCTTCCCCCCTTGCCCCTGCACCCTTGGGGCCTATTCCAGGTCTTTTGTATATCCATTGCAGAAGACGCTGCCACCTTGGGCAAAGTGCCTCTCAGGGACAAGTAGAGAGGACGGGATTGTCTCTCCAAGCATGTCTTCACAAGAGAAGGCTTATTTATTTATTTTTTTTACATTAGTGCTTGTTTCTCCGAGCTCTGACATCCACATAGACTGGTCAAATGTCATTGTCCCCACTCTCCACTCCCAGTTCACATTAAAAAATCATCGATTTACTTGCCCTTTACCTCCCCCCCAACACACACACACACACACACACACACACACACACACCTCAAAAGAAAGGGTGGCATTTCGCAGTCAGATAACTGACCTGATCGCTCCTGGAAAACAGCAACACAAATTAAGTTACATCCATTCATGCAAAGCTAGGAGACTCACATTCTTTCTGGAGCAAGCGTCTGGTTTTAACACCCCCTTGGCTAAGGAGAGCCGGTCATGTTCTCAGAAATGTCAGGAGATAGTGTCGGGGAAATTATACTTATTCGACTTCACCACAGTGAAATTAACCGAGAGGGAGAATTTTAGCATGCTAAACATATAGGAGAGTCTTCAAAAAGTTTGTGGAAAATGCCTCCTATGAAAACTCTGGGCCTGGATTTCAAAATTATTCTGCTCCAAAATGAATTCATACTTTAACTTCCTCTTTCCACAGACTCTATTTTTGTTGTTGTTAAGGAATTATTTATTTAATTTTATTTATTCATTCATTTTATTTTTTAATTTGACCAGAAAGACATAGAGAGAGAGAGAGAGAGAGAGAGAGAAAGCAGGTCACCAGGTCCGAGACGTGAACTGTGGTTGGCCATGTGGGAGTCCAGCATCCTTATCCACCATGCCACCTGCCAGCCCCATCCACAGCCTCTTTTAAGGCACCTGGGAAAAACACAGACGTGTGATCCACTTTAGAACTGGGGGATAAATACTGCTAGCTCTTTTTAGTTCTATTAGCTTACGTAGCTCCGCTTGCTTAAACAGTGGTGGACTAGACACCCCCCCCCACCACCAGAAGTAGTTCCATTTTTCCATTATGTCATTTATTTGAAAAGAATAAAATACAGGTTCAGGAATAGTGCGGGAGTTTTGGACCACAGCTGGTGATGACCCAAATGAATCACAACAGGATTGCATGCGTGTGAACTGCAGTTCACGATTTCATTGGAAATATGATCTCAGTTCTGTGTTCCTTCTCTGCAAAGAAGATGCAATTACACAATGATTTAAAGAATTTTTTAATGTAATTTAATTTAGTATAATTTTTAATTTGTTCTAGAGCACATGCAATCACCAGAGAGAGAGAGAGAGAGAGAAAATGAGAAAAAGCAAACTACCAGGTCCAAGACTTGAACCACCATCAGTCATATGGGAGTCTAGCACCCCCAACCACTACAACATCTGCTGGCCCACACAATGAATTTTGTTGAGACATTTTTTCTGGCTTAAAGGGAAGAAAACAATGACTAATTTGAAGTCACAAATGTTCACAGCACACTGTTACTTGAAACCCTAAAACATAATTTTGGGAAGTGTTCAAGGCAAGGGGTGTGAAAACATCCAAGCCTTGTGAACTGGGGGACAAATGACTAGCACATGACACTTTCTGAGGAGTGGGGCAAAGTGTCAGCCAGAGCAGGACTTGGTCATAGAGAGTGCTTCAGCACTTCCTCGTGTGAAACCTAAGACTGCTCAAGTTTTCTGCTCCCTGGACTTTCTAAGCCCATCCTATGCTGAAAATAAAGGAGACTGATTTCACCATGTATTTCCCCCAGGTTCTGCAATTCTGAGCTCCGTTAAATGGAGCCATTTAC